AATATAAATATAGAAATATAAATTTAGAAATAGAAATATAAATTTAATATAAAATAATTTTTATTTTATAAGATTATTCATAAAATTAATTCGAAAGTTAACAAATCTGTATAAAAAAATCATTAAAAGTCGTTCCACACACACATAACGGCATGCAAAATTTTTAATGCATTCTCATTTCAATAGCAATTGAATGTCTATCAAATTTGCATAACAATATGTCTTATTAAAAAAAACTGCATTTCATTGGAATATTATATTGCATGAAAATGTAATATCTAATTAATAAGTAAATAAATTCTTGAATAATTTATCATTACAAAGAATATAAATGGAACGTAAAATGCAAAATATATCGTATTTTAACCACTAAATTTTTTCACAAGTCCTGTATTTTAAAATTGGAATACTGTATGATCTTTAGAATTTACATTTCTTTGACATATCATGTCACAATGTTGACGTAACACGTTTTGTGCAAGACACTGAAAATATGATAAGGATAGCTGTATTTCTGTTGAATGTACGTAACTGATAAGTTTGTTTGTACAATATAACGATATAATATGCTCGTATGTGGAATCTTCCTGATATATATCGAGTCGATAAAGTTGCATATATATTGTGTGATGTACACTTGTGTTCGCACCAAGTTAGCATCGCAATAAGCAACCGTTTGTATGACCAGTCTCAAGGATCTTCGCAGTGCAAGAAATATAAATATACAGGAACATTTCCATTTGGCGTTCAATTTATCGTCAAACTCGTTCAACAACATTTCACGCGTTTAAATTATCTGATATTTACGTTGGTGACATCGATAATTAACAGTTACATTTCGTAAATGCTAAACGCATTTAATTATATTATGCGCGTAGTATGTAATTATTCGAAAGTAAGATTTGAAGGAAAATACACGATAGTTTATGTCACTTTGGGAAAATTATATAGCACGAATCCTTCATGTACAGAACGTCTATAATCAGTTTCAGCGATATAAACACTTGGCAAAATTGGAGCTAACTACCCGTGATAAGGAGACATAAGCTATAATTTATCCTTAATGTTGTGAAAACTGTACATTCCGTTCTGAACAAATTAGAAATTATTTATGTACAGTAGTTTATGTTTGCATTTTATACATGTAATTCTTTTTACTGTTATGTAATACAAAAATTAGCTAATGATAGATTAGAATTGAAATCATGCGTAAAATTAATCGATTAAAATAAAATAGATATAAATAAAAAACGAAATCAAAGTAGAAAAATCTCCATAAGCATTTTGAATTTATAATTTATACGTTTTTTATATATAATTTTATAAGTTTTTTAATGACATCATTGAAAATTTATATTTCTAATTATGTCATAAAACGTGCAAGGTATTTTATAAAATATACTTCTAAATTCGATATAATTTTATATTGCATAATATCGTTATCATATTAACATTACACCCATTAATAGAATCAATTATACAAACATATGATATGTATGTATATTGTTTCTATAACTTGTTTGCCATTATAATAATTTGTGCTAAGTTACGTATAGTCAATATACGTAATAATTAATATATTTTCGAGTAAAGAAAAAAAAGGAATCATTAGGATCATATCGATAAAAAGCGTGTAAGGAGTGATACACGAAAATTTGCACGTTTTCATTCAACCAGATGATTAAAAGTTAAAATTCGCATATTGTCGGTGAAGCGACGACTTTGCGAATTAAATTATCGCTTTTCTCAGGTCCCTTCGTATCCGCCCTTGCCAATCGATACGGCTTTAGACTGGTGGCGATATTAGGAAGTGTGATAAGCTGTGCCGCCTTCGTCCTCGCGTTCTTCAGCACTTCTATCGAATTCCTTTACATTTCTTATGGTGTCATCGGTAAGTTCTTTCCTCTGTCTCGGATATGTCTTATCGAAGCAGTTGGCGTCTCTACTGAGAGTTGTTTTTGTCAATTTCTCTTACATACGCGATATTCCCAACTACTTTATTTAATCTTGTGGAAAATTCTGCCGAGGATCTGTATCCTGGTTTTGTTAACTTTTAACGGCAGTGTCGTTTGTCATCATATTGTCATTGTACAATTTTTTTACTATATATGATATTTGCTCAACAATGATACCGACACTGACGTTAAGGATACAGAAAGCGGGGTATTGGACCGCATTTATTACCGATATTTAAATATCAACATTGACTTAAAAATGTCATTTTAGTAATTTTAAGAATTATAAAAAGAATGCGAATTCAAATAGAATTTAAAAGAATTTAAAAGTTAATACTATACAGGGTGTTTCCAAATTAAATCGCAAAACTTCGGAAGCGTGTAGAGGAGTAAAAAACTAAGAAAAAAAGTCCTATAGACATATGCTCGTTTTTGCTCCGTTTCAGAGAAATCGAAAAAAAATGTTTTTTTTACCTGCAAGATTAAATGGGGACCGTTTTCTAAATTTCTTGGAGAATGAATTTTCTGACTATTTAGAAAACATCCCATTACAACAACGTACTGAAATGTGGTTTCAATTAGATGGATGCCCTGCTCATTACAGCAGAGTCGCTAGAACCTGGTTAGATAGAAAATTCCCACAACGATGGATTGGACGTGGAGGAGCAGTACATTGGGCAACTCGTTCGCCCGACTTAACGCCATTAGATTTCTATGCATGGGGTACTCTGAAGCAAGAAGTTTATTCTTCGCCTATTCAATCAGAGCAACATTTGAGAAATCGTATCGTAGCTGCAGCGAACAGAATATCGCAAGAACAGTGCCTGGCTGCTACAAGAGCCGTGTTTGACAGATGCAATGCTTGTATTGCTGCAAGAGGTGCACATTTCGAACAAAATCTTCATTAAAAAGTTTATAAATAAAATAATTAAAATAATAAATTAAATATATTTTTTTCTTTTTTCGTGATTTCCTGCGAAACAAAGCAAAAAGGAGCATATGTCTATAGGACTTTTTTTCTTAGTTTTTTACTCCTCTACACGCTCCCGAAGTTTTGCCATTTAATTTGGAAACACCCTGTATATATATGTATAATATTATATATTAAAGATTAGGGTCTGCATTGTAAACAAAGTCTCTAAATTCTTTGGAGTGGAATCTCACTCTAAAGAATAAAAATTGAGGCAGTTTTTAAAAAAGAGTAGCTCAATTTTCAATTTTTAAGAATGAGAAATTTCACTTTTCAGAATGAGTGTTTAAAAGTTTTAGAGAGAAAATTAAATATCTGAGATTTCCTAATAAAGATTGATTCATATATTTTTTAACAAATCGATATTAGATTTATATGTAAAAGTTTTTTTTAAGATAAATCTTTTTTTCTTAGGTGGTATTGGGGCAGGTCTAATATACGTGCCGGCCGTGATAACTACCGGTTTTTATTTTGAAAAATGGCGAGCCTTAGCCACAGGTATCGCAGTATGTGGTTCCGGTATCGGTGCATTTTTACTCGCACCGCTTTCGAATATACTCTTGAAAACTTTTGGTTGGAGAGGAGCTTTTCTGTGTCAAGCAGGTGAATATTGATTTATTTAAAAAAAGTAAATCATGTATTTAAAGAAAACTGTTAAATTATTATCTGTTAAATAACAGAGACTGAAAGCAACATAATTTCAGTCGAAATTTGATTTTTATTGCTACAGAAGTAAATAATGCAGTTTAATTTAAATTTATATATATATTGCCATTAATATAATATCGATACAAAAAAATCTGAATTCATCGAAATTATATGAATAGCAATTCTTAGAATTTTAATTAAAAATTTAATTAATATACATTTCTATGTGAAATATTCCTTTGTTTTTACAAAAATATTATATTATAAATTATTCAATTATAGATGATAAAATTTTTTCTTTCCCGCAGAAAAATTGAATAAATTTATTGAGTCTATCATAAAAATAAAAATGCTCTATTACATCTACATTACGCAATTGGCACAATAAAAAGAATTTATTTTTTTCCTCCAATTTTTCTTAACTAAACTTTCAGTTAAATTTGCTGACTCTGATTTTATCAGTGTTTGCTCATCAAAGAAAAATGATAGTAACGTGACTGCCCTTTTCTACTTAATATCATATGTCATGTACATTTGCTTGAATAACACAAATTTGCATGAATAATATAAACGGTTCAGGTATGCATACTGCTTACGCCGAGAGAAAAGTCAGATCGTACAAGATAAAATTAGTGTCTAAAAGATACCGTTTGATTGAGTAGTCAGTTATGAAACTATACGAAATTCTCATTACTTCCGCATAATTTTATTATCTCGACTCATAAACTGACGTTTGCATGTAATATAAACTGTCAAATATTTATGTTAAAGTCTTCGAAAGTTTAATGTGTAGAAAACAATAAATTATAGTACTCACGATAACAATCTATTTCACATATTATACGTCATAAATAAATATGTTATTAAATAGAAATTTATATATTTAATAGATTAATATGATATATGTGTATGTAAATATATAAATATATGTATAAGTATATATAAAATATATAAATTTATATTTAAAAAATTAAGATTTGTTATAATAATTTATACATAATAAATTTATACATATATTAATGTTAAATAAAATAAAGATTTTAGATAATAATAATCTTATCGACTTGACATCTAACGGAAAAAACTGTTTACGCGGTTTTCAGGCATGTTATTACATTGTGCCATATTCGGCGCGATGTTCCGTCCTCTAAAACCAACGAGGATTAAGGTAAAGAATACTCCGGAAAACGCTGCGCTCGAGGTGAAAACTACGTTGATAGGAAAAGGTGTGTCCACGACCTCGTTGCACTGTGTGCAGCCGAATAGAAGCGGATTCTTCGGCACGAATAATAATACGGAATATCCGACGGCGGCAGAACTCCTCGGCAGCAGCCCTAACATAGTAAAGTAATAAACGAAAGATCTTATTTGCACTAATACTTGACAATCGTTTTTCTTAATGCGTCAGCTTTCTCAATCGAATGTCTCGATTTCTGTTTAGCGCATCCAAATCCCTGCATTCGTTGCACAAGGTGCATGTGGAAACTCAAATCTTGGAGAGAAATATAAGCACTTCGGAGAAACGGTTATCCGCGCCAATATATCCTATGGATGGTCCCGATTTGGATGCTATGACTAACGAAGAGAAGATTGCTGAGGAGAACAATCTGCTCAGTGGCGACTTAGAGCGATTGAATGGGAAAGTACCGACGGTAAGATCGACATATATGTATATCTATATGGAGAATGTACATATCTTAGGAGAATGGAAAATTTGAACAAACAGATCGATCGTGAGATAGATTTTTCATCATCGAATTTTGTGCTGAAATTTTAAGAGAAATAAAGAACAAAAATATAAAAGATTCTTACTAACAAAAAAGTATGATAGAAATTATCAAGGACAATATTTATCATAATCCGTTTGGGATACACGATTAATTTTGATTAAATATAAAGTAGAGAATTATTTGTCGTATCTTGCGCGATCCGACTTTACAATACAAAACTAATCGGTCGGTCGATTGCAATAAAAAAATTGCAAAAACGCATAATTAAATAATTATGTCGAACTTGATCGATAACCAAAACTTTCTATTAGTTCGAATTCTGGCGAATTTTGTTTTTGTCTTTTGCAGTTTTCAAAGTAAAGTAGGTACATTTGAAATATATGGATGTAGAAGAAAAATATATGTTAACTTTTGCCAAGAAACGAAAATTTAGTATTTCCGAAGCTACGAGTGCCAATTCTATGACCTGGAAAATCTTCACAAATACTTGTGAATTAATTATTTTCGTAAACAGCTCTGTTTAAAAATCTATGAAAAAAATGTCTAACATGTGATGTCAAACGCGAAAAACAATAAAAAATAGATTATTCTTCAGAAAACGTAAAAGTTTTATTTTCCGATTTAGATTCGTCGACATACGATAAGTCGTCTCCGAACGAATTCAGAATGCAGCCAAAAATCTCTTCGAATAGGCAAACGTAACTCGAAAGATCCACAAAGACCGTTCTACAGAGACGACATCTTCTACGGCGGCTCTTTGAATAGACTTCCTCATTATAGGTCTCAGGTAAGTTTTATTGCGAATATATTCCCATAATGTACTTTTAAATTTTTTCATTATATCTATAATATGCCTATATAATACTAAAGTATACAAAAATTTTATAATTCTTGTGTAAAGAATATAAAATATGAGCGATTTAAATGATTAACCGATATTTTACTTCCTTCTATTTGTACTTCTAAAATAATGTTCTCTCATATATATGTCATATGATACTAATATATACAAAAATTTTATAATTTTTTTTATATAAAGAATTTAAAATCGAAGTGATTTAATGGTTAACCGATATTTTACTTTCTTCCATTTGTACTTCTACGAGAGAACATAAAATATGTTCTCTCATATATATGTATATAATACTAATGCATACAAAAATTTTATAATTCTTTTTTGAGCGAAGAATAAAATCAGAACGATTTAAATGATTAATCGATATTTCTTTTAGTTATACTTCTACAAAAATATAAAATAATAAATTAAACTAAAATTAAACTGATGTTGAATTTCTGATCACATATTTAAGGAAACCGTTTTACTTAAAATATAAAAAAACGAGATGTGATTTTCTAGCAATCGTCGGTCGGTTACCACATGTCAGTGACGCGATTGCCAACAGCAAAGGATGTGGCAGAGGAAGAAAGCGGAAGTTTCTACCTGTGTCCGGAAAGTGTGCGACGAATTTTGACCACAATGCTCGATTTGAGCCTTCTAAAAAGTCCGTCTTTCTTAATATTAGCAATCTCTGGTGGGCTCACCATGATGGGCTTTTATACACCCTTTTTATATGTGACAGGTATATCAAATGATTAATACTTATTCTTTACAACTTTTTATCACCATTATCACTTATCATCATTTAAAAAATAAATGACTTTTCAAAGGAATTTTTTTCAGAAGAATCTAAATCGTATCGTCATTTTTCCAATAACATAACAATTATAAGTCAGAAAGTAAAATAGTTATTATAAATAAAAATATATTTAATAAAGATAAAATGTATTAGTTATCATTTTATTGTTAAATTTTTAATCGTCACTTTATTAAAACTATTTATTTACTGCCATTAACTATTTATTTTGGATTTATAATAGAGATAAAAATATATATCTCGTTTATATATAATTAATCCCTTACAGCACAAAATTGCACAAAAGTTGCAGTAACATTACTGCAATATTGCATGTTGCGGCAATATTGCAGAGATTTTGCAGCGATATTGCTGCAGATTCTGTGCTATATGGGATGTTTATTGTATTCTTGTAATATACATTTTTGTGCAACGTTTCTTATACTTAAGACTTGAGAAATAAATTATTTTACATATCTTCTTTGCAGATCGAGCAATAAAGGCTAATATTGATGCTTCAACGGCGATGTTCCTCGTTTCGGTAATCGGTATCGGTAATACCATCGGTCGTATCGTTTGCGGCTTAGCAAGCAGTTTGCCCGGAGTTAATGCTTTAGTCGTGAACAATGTATTTATCAGTGTCGGTGGTTTAGTAACTATATTTTCCGGCCTTTCTTTAACTGAGGGATATCAATTCTTTTATGCAGCCAGCTTTGGTATCAGTATATGTAAGCAGAGAATACGTAACTTTTAAAATTTTTTTGACTGAATGAAGACAAAAGGATAAAATACATCTTATACATAGAAATTTTGCAGCTGTATTTTATCATTTTGTTTTATTTACAAAATATTTTTATTAAAAATTTATAAACTAGTTTTAATTGTATTTGTTAGATCTGTAAAATGTATCAGACATTTTTTCGCAGCCGTCTTCGCTTCCCTCAGATCGATCCTTGTCGTGGATCTATTGGGCTTAGAAAAACTAACAAATGCTTTTGGGCTGCTTCTTCTGTTCCAAGGTGTGGCAGCGACTGTAGGCGCGCCTCTCGCAGGTAATTACAATGATATCGATCTTGGAATATATGAGATTGCAAAAAGCAGATTGGAACGCTGATTTACGATCGCTTTTAAACCAAGCGCCTTTGATTCTAGGAAACGTTTATGCTGTTCGTTAAAATTATTCATTTTTCACGTAGATAAATCTTGCTAATGGTTTATAAATTAAAGAAGTTGAATATCAATTCACTGAATAATATTGATATAAACAGGTGCATTTATGGATGCGACTGGGAGCTATGATGCCTCGTTCTACCTGTCTGGCAGCTTGATTCTTATGTCAGCTGTTATCTGTTATCCGTTAAAGAGGATCAACATGTGGGAGAGGCGCGACGAGAAGAAACCAACCGCGATAGAACCCTCCGCATCCTGATTGAAGGCGCAAAACTGTGCCTCATTCTTTATACTCCGCGTGCACGCGCTCGTTCGCGCTACATATGCGTTGTACATATTAATGTATAATAATTTATAACGAGCGCTCGAACCGAGAATATAATTATACCGCATGCCTTCACGCCATAAATGGGAAATGATCGATTTCGTACGTGCGATAGATCACGTTTGCTCGCGTTCAAGATAGCTTTAAAACTAAAATCCGATCGTGCGCTTGAAAAATATTCTCATCTAATAGGAGATGCATAACGCGAGAGGAAAATGTTTTCCTAATACTTGCGTGATCTGCCAGTCAAAGACTCGACTGTTTTCTTCAACAGGGTATCTATTCCACGAAGCGACTTAATATTTTTCTTCATAATCTATCGTCTCGTAACAATAAATTCATTAGTAATCTTTGTATTCCGTTAAATTTTAATTTTTTGACATTTCGTAAATTTTCCTAATGGAAGTTTAGAAAAAAATATAGTAGTTGAATTTTAGATGATTCTATTTGACTTCTTTTTCGTTTCTCAAAATAAAGAAGGTAATTTATCCTACTTCTTCTATTCAGCTAATAAATATCTTATTGATTTATTCAACATATATAATTAAATATATATATATATATTTAATAATATATAATATTTAATAAAGACGTGGGACTGTGGATCGTAAATACGTGCAATAAAAGATCGCGTTTCATGAAATAGTATCCAGATCCAACGTTTACCGGTGCCTTCGATTAATGCTAAATAATGTAGAAATAATGTATTAAATAATGAATAAGTTACATGATGCACAAAAATTTCGTTTTAAAACGTTAATTTGCTAATTCTGTACTAAATACTAATCGGAGATGACGATGTATATAAAATTATTAAATTACACCACAAAAATTTACTAATGATAAAACTAATAGCGAATATTATTTAAACATGATAGTAAAAACGTCTATTTTTATTTGTAATTTTACAAGCTATAATGTGCATTATATAATTACAGTCATTTTTTAAATTAAAAAATTGCGTCAAATATAAATATTTACCGATACATATTTTAAGATATAATCGTATTTTTCCTTATCTATCTTTCTAGGCTATCTGATCCAGGAATATGAATAAGGTATACTGGTTACGTTTCTAGATTTCGAATGGTTTGAGTATTTTAGAAAAGCCAACTCCCATACTCACCGATGGTCTCTAAGAAAGAAGTTAAATTTAAAAAAATTATTTTATTATTTTTCAAATATAGTTTCTGTAATAAAAGAGTAATAAAAGAGTAACAGATATCGGCAAATAATTATTATGAGACAAATATTTAACAGTTATTGCATAGATGATTATTAATTCTATCACTAGAAATTATTGCGGTGTCACAATCAGTTTGATTGAACTTAAATTAGCATTTAAACGCGAGATGTAAACAGCGAAAGATCGTTGCCCTGATCAAATATTCTTTTCATTTAATAATGAAAGAACCGCAAGGCAAATATAATCGTCTAAATTAAATTCGTTACGAACCAATTGTGATCGTTCGTATTTTGTAATAAAAAATGTCTTGTGGAAAACACCAGAATTAAACATAATGTTGATATTTTAATTAGAATAATGTTACATATATTACTTCCGTGTTGTTATACGATATTATATATATTATGAAACTGCCATATATACATCACATATCTTAGATCTTTACAAGATTTTAAAGTAAGCATTTGTATCATTCACCACTGTATATTCCATGAGTAAGAGTTAAGCGAACAGAGCATGTATCTTGCGTTATGTGAACGATTTGAGTTATGTCCGCGTGCATCGAGAGATATTTGTACTTTTATATGCATAAGCATATATATAATCTCACGAAACGCGTATCACTTCCAACATAACGTTGTTAATTTATAAGACCATTATATATATATATATATATCCGGTTTTAAAACTGATTAAATCTTTCACTGTGATATTTGCAATTAATCAAGAATTATTTTAATTCACAGAGCTTAATAGTTTATTTTGCGATGATAAATTTTCAACATTTTTTTGTACAGACCTTTTTGCAAACAATTTATTACATAAAAAAATACTTGAAATTTTTATAGATAATTTCATAAATACTTTTCGTGCCTTTTAAAATTATATAATGCGAGATTATAAAGCATTTAGCCAGTTTTAAAGCTAGTTGATTCCAACCAAGAAGAAATTGTTAAAGACAATAATGATGTTTTATTCGTTAGGTATAAGAAAATTTGCTCAAAAGTGAAATCCGTTCCTAGTGTTCCTAGTTGTTAATATACATACTATATATACGAACATGTTATATAGTATTTTCATAAAATTATGCGCGCAGATTTTCAGGAATGGATTGTGCAAAAAAAATAATTCGATTGACACCGAGGAAACGACGCCGTTGGCAGAAATAGATATGTACAATAAACCTATAGGTTAAAATACATTAAGAGAAATATACTTATCAGTACAAAAATTGCATCAATTTTTTTTTCTATCTCTCCTATTTTGTCCTTGCAAGAATATTAAAATGGGAGAGCGCAATTATATTTATTATAATAGAATTGCTTATTTTTCATGATATTTAAAAAATTATATAGCCCCTTTTCTTCTTGTAAAATTTAAAATCAATTTTTTGTAACAAAAATATCAAGACAATTGTACTTTGTTACTTAAATTAAAATAGTCCAACGTTTAAATTTGTAAATTAGTATTTAAGAAATCCAAAGTGAATACGAGACTGACTCAGTGATAGTGCCCTATATGCTTTAGTGATAGGCTTTCGCCAATGTATCAAAGTCACGGAGTTCTTTCTCATGGGAGGATGTGAATCATGCCGGCCGCAAAATCATGAATTATCGTGTCGCGGCGTGGCCGCGCACTAGTCTTGTTCGTAATGTGATATTCTGTGAGAACAAACATATTTACCGCGAACAAAGTGACGCATCACGTCGTGCGCTAGATACATGACATGATACAGGAAAGTGATACAGAAATGTAATATTGTTTTTCTCACGGCACGATGTGTACAAAGTGCACTGGCGTGTCGTGCTATTTACTACAGAAAATCGAATGCCGAATAAGGCACGTGGTAGAACTATTGTTTGCCGAACGCCGATTGGCATATTTTTGTCACAATATTTCCAAAAGGCAGCTCGCTGCTGTGCAAGACAAGATACGAAAAATAATGAAAATTCAATATCGGAAGCGATACAATGCCGGATAAGGACGAGAATGCAAGCAGAAACTTGTATTTGTTATCTTCGGCTTTTTTGATACATTATATACTTATACCACATACAAATAACATTATCTTTATATTTGTAAAGATAAAGTTGTTTATTGTTTATTGGAATAAAACATTTTAACCATAAAATGCGTAAGCAGTCTTTTGGTTTTTTTTCGATATGACAATATCTTGCTATTGTCCATGCTTTTTAAATTTTTTTTTCTTCGATTATCACCTTTAACAATTTACCGTGTGGTTTCAATGGATTGGTAGTAGAAAAAATCTAGATGGATACTGCTGTGTGAACAACCATAAAAGTGAATTGCCACTCGTAGTATCTACGGTTTCGTTGCTTCCTACTATACGACTGTAGCATCTTCATCAATATCGACGGGTGTTTCTTTCCTTTTTCTTCACACGACAATGTCGAAGCATAAACTATTGCCGTTCGTTTAAGCTGGTGGTGTCCTGTTCTCACTCTGACCTTCCCATTTTAACTTGCCTCCAATCTTATTTTCTTTTTGTAGGAAAAAGTTTCAATTATGAGCAGCGACAAGAGACGCTAAATTTTCAACTTTTTTCTAATATCAGTTATAATAATACGAAATTAAACCGATGAGAAATTTAATTAAGTAAGAGAATTCTGTTTTCGAGCAAAGCGATCTTAGTACTCTTAGATATATTTTGTTGCGAATTTATCGCATACCGAATTTTTTTCAGTCAATCTTTAATCAACAAAAGAATTTGTTTCTCTTTTGATTTTTGTACTTAATTTTATCGATGCTTTACTTAAAAAAAATGTATATTATGTGTATTATATCTGTATATAAACATATAAATGTAAAAATTTAAAAATGCTGAAACGTTCTTACTTCATTATAATTTTATATCTCGAAAATATTTCCTCATGTTCAAGTATTTACAAGAAGTATTTTAAGTAAGTTTCATGAGCTAGGATGCAAAATGTATCAAAAAGATTTTTCTAAGAAAGGACATAAATTATTTCTTTCATTAAGAGGAGTTCACTTTCCACCATGCGTATTTTAAAAGCCGACTTCGACCGCGTGAAGTATCTCCGTAAAATTGCAGCAATATTTCACATTTTTGTTTTTCAATCTGAATAAACTACCTCGAAAGAGAAGAAATTTCGGAAGACGAATTTAGATAAAAAATTCTACATCTTTTTTGTGAATAGAATTATACATATAACAAATGACATACGTTTGAAAATTTTTTCCAATATTTGTTGGACTTCTATATTCTCTCTTAATTTTACTTGAATACATGACTGTAATATTCAAGGAATTTTCAATCCAAAAAACGTTTCGATAAAAACAATGGAATAACTATCGGATTTTCTACTTATAATGCAAAAATGCAGTATTCTTGAAATTAATCGCATACTCTTATATTTTTATTTCTTCGTCTAAAAAATAGAAGCAAGTTTTTCTTTTTCCAGGTTGTTTTATTTTTTTTAAATATCGTATATCAATTAGCTAAACACTGGTTAAACTTGATTTAAAGTTTCTTTTTTTAAAATCCAACTATATTTTTAACTTTAGATTTAAGGCAAGACTATTGCTTTCATGTAGTAAAAAAGAATCAAATAACCTGTATAAAAGGCCCTCTATTCCCCTTCCCCTGATTTTAATCAGCAGTCCTCTTTTTTATATGTGGTTTATTATGTTATTTACTTTTCCTATACACTTAATTTGTTTTGTGTGTGTCGGGATATAACAAAATACAAAATATAAGGATCCACAA